TTTTTTTTTTTTAATTCCTTCCAACGACGAGAGTCTTCGCGAAATAGGAACGTTCCGATGAAAATGTCTGTCGTTGCTTCTTCTTACTCTCGAACGAAATTGCGACGCGCGCTCGGAGCATCCGCGATTGCAAGATCAATCGCGTCGGTTGTGCGCACGCTGTACGAGTGATTATTTACTTGGTTGACGTGGTACGTATCTACCTCGTATCGGAAAATACTCGACAAGTCCAGAAGTGATGGCAACGTAATTTTATTTTTGTTAAATCGGAATATAAAGGAACGATGGAACGTTCTAAGGTACGAATTGAGTCGTCTAAGAACGATGAGAAACTATCGTGCTTCTTGCTGCGACTGCGATCGAATTACGTATTACGAGATCCTAGACGTTTATGCGTATTGTCGTTCCACGCGCATCGCGAATACGTATACGTATATACCTGTACATATACGTACGCGTGTGTATGCGCGACGCGCGTGTGTGTGTGTGTGTGTGTGTGTGTGTATGTGTGTCTGTGTGATTTTTGCTTATATCTTTTCCGACTTAGATTCGACGCGATATGATTACGATTAGGAAATATTCGCAATTCTTCGCAACGGAATTTACAATGGGATATTTAATCGTAGATCGTTCAACGTTCGTATCGTGTATTTGGATATGTACGTGCTTCTGCGCGCATGCGCGCGAGTGCCTTGAAGGCGGAGCGCGCGCGAGTGTGTGTCTGTGTCTGAGCGAGCGTGTCCGTGCGTGCGTGTACGCGTGCGTACGGTGACGTACGACGTAGAGCGCGTTGATTCGTACGTGAACGCGTGTACTTGGTGCGTATTCGTCGTGCGCGTCGTGGACGTACGCGTTCGCGCGTATATACCTGTACGTACGGATGTACGTTTTATATTTTGTTTCGTCTTTACGCGCGTTCGCGTACGAACGCGCTCGTATGCGCGCGCACGCTCACTCGTGCGTGAACGCGCATACCCGTGCACTCGTCCGCTCGTTCGTATGCGCGTATGCGCGTCGGTTAAACACGGATCGCGCGATGAACCGATAAACTGGTACGTACCGGTGTTTTCACCGATCGTAACCGTCGTTATTTCGTAGAATTAACGGCAACGCTAAATTCATTTTGAAAACGTTAAATTTACGAGTGATAATCTGTCGTTTGTTAGTCCGCCGAGTTCTAGTGCCGGTCTTATCCGTCTGCCGTCCGTGCGTACGTGGCGTAGGCGTGCGTGCGCGTACGTGCGCGATAGGATCGAACTCGAAGAGCAAAGTCACGCGAGTCGCGTGGCGAGCGTGCTGGAAACAACCGCGATCGTCAACGCGTAGAACGAGTTGCAAGGACGACTCCCGCTACCGCAAAATTTGATCTCCATCTCCTCCGGATGGTAGTTTATGCATTTGGCAGGCCTGCGACGATACAAACGTTCTCTCCTCGCGATACAAGCGCCAGGCTCTGTCAGAGCTTCTATCGGATCGATGCTCAATTGTTTGCTACCGCACGGACACAACGTGTCCACTACCAGTAGGATCAAATTCGTGTGACGAATCTTTTGCACGCTGAAAGGCCTGAAAGCAAAGAGTAAAATTCGTTTCTTCTTTTCCTTTTCTTTGCTTTGCTTTCGCGCGACGACGAAACGACGTGTCGAGTCTGCTCGACGTTCGAGCGTTGTCGTCTCTTGTTTTCTCGCGATGGCGAGTGATATTTTCGTCGAACGAGACGCGACGTATCTCGTCTGTATATTTACCTCTCGCAACCGGTGTCGTGACAATTGGTCAACTTTCCCTTCAACGGATTGCTTTGCCCGCTGGTGTTCAACCTGTCGGGTTGTAGGATATAAAGATCCGTCTTCTTCTCGCAAGATCTCAACTTCCCTTGCGAGTAGCGAGCGGACGTAGCGGCTCGCGTCGTCTCGGGAGAAGCGGGAGTTGCGGCGACTGCGACTGCTGGAAGCCTTGGGAACGCTTCTTCCTCGTTTCCTTCCGGTTCGTCGGTCGAGTCCCCGTGTATCGCCAACGATTCGAACTCGCGAACATCTCCGAGCGAATCTACGCCTGAAAATCGACGTCGTTTGTCGTTTGTCGTTCGCGTCGACGACTGGACGGCTAGAAAATCCTTCTTTCGTATGGACGAAAATGTCGTCTATACGAAACGAATCGAGCGCGTGTGTGCCTTACCGTCGAGCGGCTTTGCGGATTCGCCAGCGAACGCGAAAGCGACTTGCCACAAATTTTGAAAATTAAAGCCGAACGCCACGCTCCAGAGGAAATTTCCCAATATCGCGATCGTCGTCGAGATAGATCGTTCCGAGAGAGTTCTCGGCGCGGCCGATTGATGAGATTCTTGCGGACTGCACGTTCCCTGATAATCGGTCACCGTTACTTTCCTGAAAAAGAACGACCAACGAAACGATTCGGCGACTGCGAGGTACGTTACGAGCGAAAGACTCGCGAAAGAATCGTGAAACGCACGAGCCTAAAGCCGTGAATTTCTTTTCTTCCCCCGATATCTGTTTCTTTCGTTTCGGTTCTACCGACCCGGCGGGTCTCTCGAAATTCTTTACCTGTAAATTCTGTCCTGAACCAGGGAGTCCATTATCGTACCGTCGATCTCGCCAAAGAATTTCCCAGTGTGCTCGTGACGTTCGCTGATTATGATAAATCCGTTGTTGTCCAGGATGTAGCAATCCAACGCTTCGGAAGCGCAATTCTTCTTGCAACTCGTACCGCTACACTGTGAAAACCGGAAGAAGAGGAAGAAAAGAGAATGATGAAACGTCGAGTCGTTGTCGCGAGAACGAGAGCTTTGCCCGCGTGGCGAAGCGGCAACGCCGAATCCGTACGAATCGATGAAAAATTTACCGTCGAGGTGATGTTGACGAAACGAGAGGCCAGCGAGGAGTGTTGAAACTGCAAACCTACGACCGCCGCCGGTGCTTTGTGTCCCGACTGTGGCCCGATGAAAACCGCGTGAGTGGCCGTCACCAATGGATTTGGGCTGTCGGCTGAGTGGAAATTTCCTCGTGAAATTTACACGGTTGCGTTGCGTTGCGTTACGGAGTGCGACGACGGTCGTTGAATCGAGAAACAAAAATGGAAGAGGAAAAACGAGAAAGGTAGGGAAAGGAGACTTCCTCTCGCGCGCGCGCGCGAGAGAGAGAGAGAGAGAGACGTAATCGTAAGTAATCGAGAGATGGGAGACAGTTTCGAACGTCGAGCTATTTACATACGTATATGTGGCCGGCATTGCCACGCACCACGTACCGGCGTCAAAAGGCACGCTGAAAACGAAACTTTCCGGTTCTATCGAATGTTGATCCACAGCGCGTTTGTACCACGAGGAATCCATAGCTCTCGCGTACTTGTCGGCGAATGGTCTGAATGAACAATAAAGTTTCTCTCGTTATTGCGTGTCGTGTTGCGTCGAACGTACGTTGCGGTACGTTACGCGTGTACGTGACGACTAATTTTAATCTCTGATGTTTTCTCTTCGAACGTACGTGTGCGTTACCGGGATAGTTTACCCGGGTAAAGGTAAACGTACGTACGTACGCGCGGTTGAAAAGTTGAGATAGAATTCGAAATTTGACATTTACGGTTCGTCGATGATCTCCTCGGTTCGTCGATGCTCGTGCCAACGAAACAAGCCGCTTCTAGTTGCGATGAAACTCCGTGTTACGCCGAACGTGCCTTTTCCTTGACTGCAAACGTGAAACAACGTTGTACCGAACGCAATGAAAATGTCCGCAACGATGCGACGAGGTAGAAAAGAGCGCAAAATGTTTTGTTCTCGTATTCTCGACGACGAGTACGAATAACGCGCGACGATATCGATACCTGACGCGTACGTCTTACGCGTTCGTTCGCACGCTGTACAGACGTGAGCGATAAACTTGCAACGATCCAACGATCAGACGTGTTCTACCTGTTTGTTGTCCGTTAACGTGCCAGAGAATGGAACGCACGTGGATCGCACGCGATACGACTTCGCGATGTTTTGCACGTTCTTAAAAACATTCTCGAACGGTCTCGAGATATTTCGTTGTTTGTTGAGAAATCGAGAAAAACGTGAAAATATAAAGACGAATAGAGGATATGGCACGGTCTTGATCGTAAATCCTCGGAACGAAACGAAACGAAACGAAACGAAACGAAACTGAGTAGGTTCGGAGTAGGAGACTACTCTCTTCGGGCAAGCAACGACTCTCTGAAATATGAAATTTTAGCTGCCGATTTAGTCCGAGATATTAATAAAAAATTTTCACCGCGATAGATCGAGTTCTACCTACGCGAATACGCGGATACCGATCTCGACTGTTCTTGCATATCGGGGTTTAGGAACCCAAATCTGCAGATGATATCAGCCGTATCTCTATAAAATGTTGCGCTTAAAATCTCCAACAGTGACGCGTGCGAACCGTCCGTTTGATTTAATATTTGTTTAACGGGTGATGCATGGCCGACTTAGAAATTTCGTTTTATTCCGACGACTAGAGGGACGTGCGGTCGTGTACCGTGCCATAGCCTGAATGGGATATAGTCGGACAACTGGGAGTATAGTTTTCGCAGGTATCGTGAAACGAAAACGAACGAACGAT